TCCCACCGAGGCTACTGAACTTTTCAAAATCGACATACAAACTTCAAATCTGCCAAACAACTATTTGAATAGTACTACTGTTTAAAGATCTTGGCGATTTGTGGGCCCTCTTTAACCACTGCTTTGCCAAACTGGATCATATTTCTCATGCCCTTCCGTGGTCTGAAGTTGGGATTTTCGTATTTATAATATCTCTATGGGTGTAATTTTGTTCGGTTGGAACTTGTAGTTAGTACAATGGAGTCCGAAGATAAAAGTTTTTGGTGTTCATATACGCTCGGGAGTTTAGACAGGTGACCTAACTAGCATATCCCCAAACCCCTTCCTCCTCCCCTCCGCTGGTCTAAGTATAGAATTGACCTCGCGGGAGGCTATTTTGATGGAGTTTGGTGATTTGTACCTCGCCACCCTGTGGATCCATTTGATAACTTCAGCGTACCTGCTAGCCGTTGTATGTCCAGCAACCTCCTGCAGTTCAGCTCCCGCTTGGTTTCAACTTTCCCGTATTTCAAGATCGGCAATCAACAATCAGAGGTTTTATCCATTGCATGAATCTGTCTTTACCGATCCATAACATACTTTGGGCCGGCTTTAAATTCAGCGTGAGTGAAGGCTCCTGGAGCANCTGGAGCATAACCGTTTTTCTCTATTTGGGGTTGCTTCACGGTCTGCTGTGTTCCCCCCCCCGGCGATCTTCATTCCTACTCCACTGGCGAGCGGGCTCACTGGGATGGAGAACATTGTCATTGATGGTGGGGGGATGTGGTCACTAGAACGTCCCGGTGATACCCTCCCAGTTCGTATCCCAGCCATCTCTGCATACGATCGATGCGCTCTAATCACGGGTCCCGATTTCGGTCCCATACCCACACGGTGTGCCCGGTGTACCTGGTTTCCGTGTTTCCCTCCGAAAGTTAAGTCATGTTACCTCCTTTCAGCGTGTGTGCATGCCCATTCGGCCCACTTCTGCTGGCGGTATAGTGCATACACATGTGCACTGAACCTCGAGNTTGGGTGGGCCCACTTCTTGCAAACATCGCATGCTACGCCCTTAACTACTCTTTGCCCGAACCTTGGCTGGGACATGGATAGGATATTCTTAGCGTGATGCAAAAAACAAACATAACTAATAAAAAAATGCGTACTGTTCCTATGGGAGTAAAAACCGGGATAAATACATTAAATAGCTAACAGAGTAAAAACTGTAATTATTTCACTGCAAAAACAGTACTTTTTGCAAACCCACACAGCACTTCAGAATTTCAAACCGCGCTGTACTTACGTCAAGGTCGGTTATTTAAGTGGTAAAATAAGCGAAACACACAGAGAGCTGAGACAAACAACGTGGTGTGGACGTGCAAGGACCGAATAGGTTAAAGATGACAATTATAAAGTAGAAATCGTGTGAATTCGAATCGGATCTTCTTGTGAACATTCTGTGAATATAATAGTCAGCTTTGATGAATAAGCTATCGTCACTGTTCAATTCAATACAACCAGCTGAGCCTTAGCTGTAGCACGCAGGCAACAGTGCGTCAACCTGTGTGCTTCTCATAGTTTCGGTTAGCTTAGCGCGTATCGACAGGATGCAAGATTGAGATATGTCTCATTTCAACACAGGAGGAGCTGGGGAAGATATGTGATCAACTGGGGGTGGTGACGGAAAAAACGTGTGATCAAATGGCCAATGAGCGACAGAGAGAGAGAGAGTTACATTGAACAGAACTGGGTCGAACCGCAGCGTTTCAAAGTTATTCAAAGTGTTGCGTTTTCTAATCAAACAGTGTATGCTGGTACGTACTAGCGCCAGATTGAAGAGGCTGTCTAACACGTCTGGTTCTATCACACGAATGTGTCCTGCTGTAATTGCATTCAAGACCTCCTATTTCATTGTTCTGGTCGTGACTACTTCGTTCTGCAGTTCTCACAACCAGAATGCAGGCACGACAGGTTCGGATTTCTTCCTCTAATGGGAGGGGGATTTTCTTTTTTTTTCTCCTTTTAATTCAATACTTATTGATGCAATATTCGGGAATGAGAAAGCGGTTAACCAAAGGGTTTTCAAGCAACACAGAATGGGAAAAATAATTTCTAAACTTCAAATCACAAACTAAGCCCATTGTGGTAATCTGACCACAGATTGTAGGCGAACATATGTTTTCCATGAGTTTATCTTTCTCAAGCTATTACAATCACATTTAGGTAAGAAATGAATCGGATGGGTTCTTTTTGTTGAGATCAAACAATTCAAATAATCATAGCAAAGGAGTGTAGGGTAAGAACACGTTTACCTCTATACCTTTTCAATCTTAACTGAATCCAATCAATCGCATTCTACCAGGCACCCAACAAAGTGATTGGTTAGTCTGCCGTCACACGTCACCGCGATTGGACCGGGTCTGTTGAAAAAACCCCGTCCAATCGGAATGAACTGATTTCTCCATTGGCAAACAAAAGTACTTTCTGAGTGAGTTGCCGAGCCCGGATAAAGGTTTCGGTGAGGTGGGGTGGGGTGGAGTCGACTTTTCTCTCCCCCCCACACACACCAAGCACCCTCTGAGTACGTTATGTCCTTGGCCGTTGATCTTGTGAACGTTGGGGACGAGAATGAACACACGGTGGTAACTGGTCGTTGCTGCAACCGATCGGAAAACTTCACTAACATGATACTTTATCTCGGAAAAACTAATTAAGACCGAGAGCACTTTATGAATTCAACTGCATAAACTTTGAATTTCCAATTGCTACTATTCTGAAGGTGGAAGAAAACTATCTTCGTCGTATTTGCTGCTATACAAGCAGCAGGATGAAAAATATATTGAACAACTTTTATGAAATAAATATGCACTATTTCCATAATGTTTGTTCTCTCTCTTCGGGAATTCAATCTCCGAGACGATCGTTCTACACGAAAACAGCCAATTGGGAAAACACCAAAAAGAGTTGTGCGTGGGCTTACGTTTGAGGATATTGTAGTTCATACTTAAGGCAAGCTCAAAGTTTTATTATGCTTATCTTAGACGAGTCAAGCGTTGACCCAGTGTCATCATTGCGCAACGGATTCTCTTGGGGTGATTCTCTATCAACAATTAGGCAGCATCGGATTCGGGACCTATCCTCCACCGGTGGCGGCCCGAGCAACGCACGACCGATCGGGTTCATTTAGCTATCGGTCGGATGGTTCAGTCGCAACAAAGGACCTACCTGGTGCTTGCCCAGCTATAACCCGAGCGAAAAACCACACCCTCTATACAGCCAAGAGTTTTGGGCATGCCCCGTGAACAGTAGAAGTGCCATCAGCACACAGATGGACTGGACGTAACAACAAAAGCATCACAACACGTACAGGCCGGTAATCAGATAGTGTCGTATTGGGGTGAGGGATTCCAAGTGCCGCGAATCACTGAGAATGATCCAATCAGATCACAGAAAGGGTCAGAGGGAATTCGCTTGTTTAAGGTAACGAGTGAGAGGGACAAGATACCGTGAAACGATGAAGTAATCACACTGTACCTGTGTGTCATTTTTACATCTAAGTATCTTCCATTCTATCAGGCTTTTATTTATAAGCATTAACAACGAAAATAAGGATGGATGCTTATTTAGTATTTATCATAGTCGAACATTGGGCTTGTCGAAAGTATAGAATCCAATATCCGCTAACATAGGCCTAACGATAACGCAAAAGTGGCTTATTCATTGTTTTTATGGTTTCCTTTATCAGTCGAAGCAGGTTACCCAGTGTGGTTCAATGTTTTACCACTTCCCAGCAATCTTTGACCTTGAATATAATATCTGTTTTCGGGACCCGCTTAGTAGTTGTATCTAAAACCAGTCAAGTATTCGCACACAGTCATCATCGCGTAAAATTTTCGATTCCCCGGATTCCCCGGAGGGTGCTTGCCTCCATAACAGTTTCTCCTGTGATGTTTCCCTGCCAACCCTTAAGCAGCATAGGATTCTTAACCTATCCTCCTGTGCGGGTCTGATAATCACATGATGGATCGAGTTCATCGATCCATCGATCGATTGGAGTGGTTGAGAATGGCGGCAAGTTTGATTTACTTGTGATGAGCACCCTCGTGTGCAGAGTCATTGAAATGTGAAATGCAAACTCCTTGTCCTGATAAGCGCTATGCATGATACCTGCATTAACCTCGCAAAGCTGGGTTGTGTTTGAGTCTAGATATGTGTAAAATGGAAACGGTCTGATTGGTTTCTCGATGGTTAAAGTGGCTGTGTACTTGCGTTATCTGTGGTCCCTGGTTCAATCCTCAGCTGGACGAGTGGATTCACATTGCTGATGAAATCTGGTGATCCT